TTTATGTACGTGGATCTTAAAAAAGGACTTAAAGATGACTCAATAACAAAGTTGACCAGCTTAATTCTTAACTCCTTTGTTAAAATTCCAAATAATTGATTTTCTAAAATTCATTTTTAGTTGAAGTTTGTTATTTAAACTGCTTCTTTTTCGAGTACTTAAATAGCTAACCTCGTCGCTGAATGGAGGCTTGTCAGTACATGTCTGAATGTGCTTTTACACCTGTTTCTGCTTCTGTTTCTGTGTTTCAAATTCAAAATAATTCACATTAGCATGAAATTTTCATGCACATCTGCACAGAACAATTTATTTGTGTATAGAATTGTGTGTGTTGAAGTGATTTTGGATTTATTTTTGTCTCTGCTGAATAATGAATACCAATTATTTCCATGACACACCAAAAAGTTTCAACTTGACACATGTCCTCGTATTCATCACGCATACACTTCCAAATTGAAATTATTATAGATAAATACTGTGTGAATCAAAAGAGTAAATCAACTTAGAAAATCACTGATGAAATACTTTTCATTAGCGGAAATTTATATTTTAAAAGGTAAAAAATTTTAAAAGCTTATATATATTAAAAAAGATAAAAAATGAAATCAATTACTGTGAATTACGAATATATTTTTGAAAAATTATCTGCACTTGATAATTTGATAATGGTGCAATCAATTACAATTGCTGCTTTTATTGTCCTCAATCTGATGCTGTGTTACAGTGACATTATTTGATATTCAAAAAAATATTTAATCAAATATTTTGCTAAATTTAATAACTAAACTTATTGTAAAAATTCGTAAGTAGACAAGTTGGTGATAATGACTGAAATTGTTAGAAAGCTTATTCTGTCATTTGTCAACAGCAATTTCTGCGACAACTACAATTAATTAAATTATTATATTAATTCTCAAAGTGGCTCTGGACACAGAATAAAATTATATTCAACTAAAGTATAACGTCTGTAGTAGATGTAAGTGGCTCATATGAATAACTACACTAAAATAAAGGATATCATCTTTAATACTGTTGCTGAAAGAATAAAAATAACACATTGTTACAAAATTTTAATGAACTTCCATTTACTTTAATCATTTTTATTTACTTACAAATATTTGGATTTTAATTTTTAAATGAAGTGATATTTTTTTAAACGTTTAAATTAAAATATTTAAAAACTATTTGTGCAATTTAACAGATTGCAATCAAAATCGTGTAAATGCTGTACAGTACACAGAAGCTTAAAATAACAATTTACAACGGTTTTTATGCAGAATATATTTTTAAAGTGAAGGATAATATAAACCTAATAAGAATAGAAGGAAGGGTGAGCTTGAAATGACCACATTTAACGCTTGGCTCAGCAAAATTACATATGATTCTAGAGTCGGCGGAGGATGGGCATAAGGAAAGTTATTCAAACTATGATTAACATAATTAAATTAATATTCATTTCATATATTGTATTATATATTATATATTATAATATTACTAGATAACCCGACAAACGTTGTTTTGCCTTATAAAATATTTCTAATTTCTAGATAAATTCTAGTGTAGACAAAAAGTAACTTACTTATTATAAGTGTGTAAGTATGTGGTATATGCATGAAATAGGCATGGAGCGCTATGAACGAAAACGAAAATAAAAGTAACAAACGCCAAACAATATTATTTTTAAGTTATTATAGTTTATTTATTAAATTATTAATTTAAAATCAATAGATTTGTATGATACCAAGTTCCCTGGCAACAACTGTTGTATCTTCAAATTTAATTTGCCTTGGATTGACTGTAAATAATAATAATGGTAATGGGCCAGTAACATTAACCAACAACAGTCGAAGATAAAAGCACTCAGTGTGTCTTGGATTAACTGTAAATAAGCGTTCGATTTAAATAAATTGAGACATGTATCAACTGGTGAAACTTGCTTGCGGGGCATCCATTTTTTGTTTGAGCCCATGTAAGCGTGGTACTTGTGAATAGAGTAATGTTCTTGCAAAGGCACCAAAATCATCCGTACTATTACACAATTCAAAAAATGCAGTGAGTGTAGATTTAGGTGGATTTGTACCACGATCAATCACTGTCTCGTTCGTGAAAAATACACGCTGACCGTTTTCAAGATGGACGGCTAACTGAACAGCTGCTGGATCCCGTTCATGAATTAGAAAACCGAAGATACGCCAAGCAGCTTCATTGGAGCTGATGTACCGACCAATTTGGTAGAGCGTAATTTCACCGTTTTTGTTTCATTGGAGGAGCATTTACATTAGTATTTTCTACTCTAAACACAGCCATATCACTGCCTTTATGGACATATTTATATATTTGATGCTCTTCACAGAACTGCAAAACTCAACATTTATATGAGCATTGTATGTCTTGCTTAGCAGAGGCGAATACGGCAGCACCCGCCATTGTCCCCCATTATCGGGATTTTTTCGACGATATATTGGATATCCGTCGGTATTTGTTATAGTATCATTAGTGAAATCTTTAGAAAAATTTTTAGTACATTTTCCATCTGCCATGCAAGGCGAAGACGAAGAAACGAAGTGGATGTAAATGCTCGATGTACTTGTTGGCGTAGTTACATAAAATATTAAGAAAAAAATTTTTCTTTTTCAAAAATATAAACAAAATTTGTCAAAAAAATAAAAAATTTTTTGTTAAAGCATTAAGGATATTTTTGCTGGATAGGGACTGCCTAATCAGTTCAGCGGTATGAAAAATAGATAGTAGCCGATTCTCAGACCTACTGAATACGCATATAAAATTTGGTTAAAATCGGTAAAGCCGTTTCGGAGGAGTACGGTAGCTAACATTGTGACATGGAAATTATATATATAAGACCGCAAACAGACGTCGTTTGGCCTTGTGACTTATTGATGGTCTTTGCAAATGCCAATCTAATAGGAAATTGAACGCGATTAAATTAAATTGGCTTGTCTGTGAGAATCATTGGAATTCGTGGCAATAAAACTTTTTCGTTTCGAAACTTGCCATTCAAAATGGTGGCTTCGATAATGTTTTTCATCAATTTTTTAATTACCAATCGCGTACTATTGCATAGCCGTGGTGGGTTCAAATTTCAAAGTAAAATAATCGGTGATCTAACTTTCAGTCGTAAAATGTGTGGTGGCATGCCTGGCAAATCCAGTGAGTTTAAAAACTCTGCTGAATAGTTTACAACTTCGTTGGTATCACAAACTGTATCGATCGATTTGTATAATATTAAGTCGCCTGGCAATGTCTGTTTTATCTTAAAGTTTAATTCATCAACATCCACGTTTTTTTTGCTGCTAATGGCTCTTTCTGCCAGCCACCCATGATTTATGTATTGTATGTGTACATCTGGAAATACGCGGTCAATGAGAGCATTTTGGGAATCAACGATAGTGCAGAAATTAGGGGGCAGTTTTATGAATTCAGTATTTTCATAGACAAAAATTTTTCATATCATAGCAAGTTTTCTTTTTCAAAAATATAAAAAAATTTATGTCAAAAAAATAAAAAAATTTTTGTTAAAGCAATAAAGACATTTTTACTGGATAGGGACACCCTAATCACTTTAGCGGTATGAAAAATAGATAGTAGCCGATTCTCAGACCTACTGAATACGCATATTAAATTTGGTAAAAATCGTTAAAGCCGTTTCAGAGGAGTACGGTAACTAACATTTTGACAATGTAATTTTATATATAAGATATATTATTTATAATATTATAAATTTTTTATTTTATTTTTGCATTATATTGTTGCGTACGTTCCAAGATTTGATGTGGTCGTTCGCTATCGCTGGATATCGATAAATAATTAAATAATAATCGAGTTTTGTATAGCGGTGTTTTTATTGCTCTTATTATTGAACACCAACTCACAATTTTCTTCAATCCTTAATATATATAAAACTTATTTTCCAACAATTAAATACTTAAAACAGTATTCCTAAGTTTACTTGGTTTCCAAATTCATTATATATTTTGTTGTATATTTTTTATTTAAGATACTTTTAGAATATCTTATATCACTAATGGTAAAATAAATTAATATTCAGATTTTATCTAACGCCAGCTTTATTGAATTCATTTTAATATTAATCAAGCGTTGGTAATAATTCACATTACAACGATTATATTTACAACATAAAATACATTAAACAAAACTCTTTAACTTATACAGATTATATTATACGCACACTCTATAATAAGTTCACATTTAATTTTCATTTTTTTTTGACCAAAATTAGCATTGACATCTAGTCGTACTACATAGCGTATGAGTTACAAAATAAATCACATTTTATTAAATATTTATTGTATTTCGTAATAATAATATTAAGTAAATATAAGTTAATAATATATAATATAAGTTAATATAAGAAAAAAATTATTTTTAATTTGTAATGCATACTTTAAGTGCTTTTAATTTAGACAAATCTTATGTATAAGATTACAGCTTTAAATAGCAAACTTGTAAATTATTTTAAGACGCGCTAAGTTATCTTTATGATAACTTAGCTACAAATTATTTTCCTACAGTCGACTGAGTTCAGTTCTTAAATGATTTTATCTAAGAAGACTCAAGTATTTAAATTAAAACAAACAAAATTTTTGGCAAAAGTTTCAAATATTTTTATAAATGTTATTTCTTTTCGGTTTTTTATTTGTTTGAGTTGTAATTAAATAACTTGCTTAAGTTCAGACACTTTTAAAAGATACAAAAAAAATAAATAAATGAGAATGAGAATGAGGTCAACACATACAAATTTCAAGTGTCAAAAAGATTGTTACTTGGTGGCATTAAAGCGCGAAGGACGAAATTTGATGCTATATAAAAAATGTTATGACGTCTTTGAGATTATATGAACAACAAAAATTTGTTATTAATCAAAAGTTGTGTGTTATAAAGGATTAGTTTTAAAGATACTGTCGAGTGCATTCTTAAGTAAACACTGTTGGAAATTCTTAAATATAAAATTTATTACTTACGTTGTTTCATCCTTGGGACAAGGTACAAATTTAATGCATTCACGTTTTTGAAAATTTGTTTCGATCCAACTACGAGGTTGATGCTGCGTTGTTAGTAAGTGCCAGGAATTCAAATGTAAATATTTACGAAAAATAGAAAATTAAAAAGAAATATAATTAGTATACATAAATTATTTATTATCTCTTTATAAAAGTGAATTTAATTGCTCTTTTTATATTTACTTTTAATTATAGCAGACATTTAAAGGTTATACCATATATACAGTTAAAATATATATAATATTTTCTTTTAGAAAAAAATTAAAACAAAAAACTTAATTAATGTATTAAGAAACAAAAACATATATCAACACAAAAATCAACAAATAAAAATGCACAAATAAATAATTAAAATAAAGTCAAAAGTCTTAATGGAAAAGTTTCAAGCAAAAATAAACATTAATTTTGTACAATAATATTTGGTAAATTTTGTCCTTTTGCACAGAAAAGTATCTCAAAATATGCAATAAATAATTTAGCAGCATTTTTAGCATTTATTTGCTATACTCACACAAAAACATTTAATTGAATCAAATGAAATTTAATGTACCTTGAGCAGTTTACCATTTTGTAAAGAAAGATAAATATAATTAAACTTTATAGAAAACTTAAAATACAAGATGATGCTTTTTTTCTAAATGTATTTAAAGACAACACATTTTACTTCAATAAATAATTGTTTTTTTAATGAAACTTATTTGAAATTATTTTTAGTATTTGAAGAAAGTCGAGGAGATGAGAAATCGACGATATTTGTTCTAAAAATGACAAGAAACCTTTTTTGAAAAAATTAGACAAAAATAGATACAAAAACACGTTTCAAATAGATACTTTAAAATTTTACTTAAATATTATAAAATGACATATTATTATAAATTGGGTAAGAAAAGTTAAAAGTCTCTAAAGTTTTATATGCAAGACTTCCTCACATATTTTCAAATAGCTTTGATTAACAAAAATTTTAATGCAAAATGCATCTCTAGAATAAAAAACGCGTCTTTTTATATTTATATTAAAAATAATTTTAACAAATATAACGTATTTGTTTTGCAGTCGAGCTTTAGGTTGTTTTTAGATTATTATTTTATCTCTAAATTTAAAATAAAATGAAAAAAACTATTTATTTAAACAAATATTATAGTCTGGTATATAGGTTATGTTTAGTGTTTATTTATAAAAATATTTATAAAAAAATTATTATAGGGTGAAAAAACTGTGGTGATTATTTTTCCGTTAAATTATTATTATTTAATAATTATAATATTAAATTTTAATAAATTAAATAAAATAATATTATTATTATTTGCGAAGAAGGAACTGAGAAACAATAATTTCCTCAAAAAAGATTTTGTGATTTAGTATATATTCTACACAAAAAATTTACAATAGCCATTTGTAGCATAAATCAAAATTTTTCGATATATACAATATATGCAACCAAAAAAAAAACTATCTATATTTTTAAAAATATGTGCAAGGTGTGGGGAATTCCTTATTTGTAAAACATTTGTAAAAGATGCCGCCACAGGACTTAAGATGAATCCTACATGTCTGAAATACAACACATAGATGGAACGACTAAGATCGATTAAAACATCTACAAAATTATGAAGCTGATTAATCATAATAAACCAGCTGATATATCAACCATGAAACACGTAATATTTTTAGAAAACATTACGGTAATGAGCTCATAAATGAGCATCAATAGGTTTGACCCAACTATGTTAAAAAAATTTTTACCAATTGGAGTCTTGGTCTCCTTTAAAGGCAGCAAATATATATTGATAATAAAGTAAGTATATATAGTGTAGTAAATTTTAATTTTTTTAAATTATATTCAGAACTTTTTTAATAGAATTGTAGAAGAATAAATGGCGTACGTCATAGGTGTGGAACGCTATATATATAATAAATACATTTGATAAATACATTTTCTAAGATTTTTTACTAGAGTTGTGCTGGTATAACATTTAGTCAATACGTTTGTTAAATTTAAACAGTATTAAATTATTTTCAGTTTAATGCAAACTCTATTGTTTATCTCGTTTTGAAGAATGTTAAGTATTTCGACTATCTCGAAAGCATGTAAAATGCAAAATTTTGCATTCCAAATTTCTATAATTTCTTTTATAAGAAACTATGAAATAAAAATTTTTATTGTCTTAATAAAAAAATAATATGATGTTAAAAAAATTTTTTATTACTTTTGTACATTCAGATTACTTAAGTTATTTGATTCATATATTTTTTAATTTTCTCTTTTAATTTAATTAAAAATGATTTCAAAAGAAAAAAGCAATTTAATTTAAATTGTATTAAAAAATATTAAAATTGGATTATTTATTATTTTTTTATTTTAACTAAAAACATTTACATTTTTTTGATGTAAATAAAATGCTTACACGTCAAATGTTTTTATTACTTTCATTCTAAATAGTACAAGCTGAAAAGTTTTAACAGTTTTAATCAGAGCTATATGAAAAAGTCAGTTCTCGTCTCACTCAATTAGAATATTTAAAGCTAGTCTTATAAATTTAATTACATTTATAAAACCCTTGACTAGCATTAAATTTAAAAATAATAGTTTACTTTCGAGAATCTACTTAAAAATGAGTTTTGCTTTGTATGATATATGGGATATTAACCTCGAAAAAACTTTTTATTAATCAAATTTAGTAACGAATACAATTATTTGAAAAAGTAGACATCTTTTGCTCTTTTTATAATATCAAACTCCTAATAAAAAATCACCTCTTGACCATTTACCTAAGTCAGGTAACTGAAATTAATTAATATATTACTTAATTTATATAATTTATTATTACACCCATGCTACATAATTGATAAGGCAAAAAATAATTCATGAAAAGAAGACTTGAAAATCTTGAATTGTAATAATATATAAAAATTTACGGAAGTCAATACTAAAAATTTTAATATTAATTTCCCTTCACAAGCGAATTCTAAAATTAATTATTTTAAAATATTGCAATAGTTTACTATATTATGGCAGAACAAATTTAACAAATCACATAGCTATTCATATATAATGTTAGAAATCCAGAGTAACTTATTGAGAACCACAGCTTCATCATTCATTCATTTAATCATAAATGTCCATTTCTTTTTCATAAAAAGTGGATACATTTTAAGTACCAACGTAGTATGTAAGTTAATACTATGCTTCTGTGTTTTGTTATATTTTGGACAAATGGAAACAAAAAAATTCTCAGGGCAGAGTGTATATTTCATTCAAATCACTCAATTTTTTTCATAACATATATTATGAAAGCTAATATTTCTTTTATATTTTATTTTTTTAGCTTTTAACTTAATCCTTTTTCTAATAAGTGTTCCTACTACAATCATTCTTACTCGTATCATTGACTCATACGGCCACAAAAAATAGTCATAAAGTGGCTACATATGCCGGAAATTCAAAAAATATTCAAAAAATGCTATAAAATTACTTCCCAGATTATAATAAAAAAAATTTCATTTCAACAATATTTATGTCTTGTATTATTATTTTAAGTTCTCATGAAGCCAAAAACACACCCTATATAAGTTTAAAAATTGGGCAACCCCCCTTTTAGAATCAGAAAGTGAAACAATAAATACTTACTAAAGTATATCAAAGTGATTTAATAATGCTTAGGTATAAAATAGTTTTTTTTATAAATAAGATTAAGACGAACACGACTAAGATTAAGTAGAATACGACTAATTGTTTGTAAACATAATTTTTGACGTTAGTCACATTGATCTAACTTAAGCTTATTTTTTATGTAAAATATAGGACATTTTTATAATGCTCTTCAAATAAAAGTAGATTAAAAATGGGTTCAGAATGATAAGGCATGTACATTGTGACCGAAAAGTTTTCGGAAATTCTCATTTAAAATTCGCGCGCTGTATATTTTTCGATATTTTAAGTTTATGTAGTTTGGCAGCACTGTCCTTAATTACTATGCCAAAAATGAGCGCGATCTGTCAGACAGTTCGTTTACGGCAGCTGTTGAAACCAGTTCACCTCAGTAGTGCGTTGCGAAAAAAACAATGGAAAAAAATATTGAACAAAGAGTTTGCATCAAATTTTGTGTTTCGAACGAAATTTCGTGTGCAGAATCGTTGCGAATGCTACAAAAGGCTTATGGGTAATCAGTTTTATCGAAAACTCAAGTTTATGAGTGGTACAAAGCCTTTCAGGACGGTCGTACGACCGTCGAAGACATGCCGCGTTCTGGACGACCTTCGGCCTCTACCACCGACGAAAACATTGAAAAGGCAAAGGAAATCGTGTTCCAAAATCCTCATGTGAGTGTTAGAGAGATAGCACGAGAGCTAGGCATCGGTCGTGAGAGCTATCCGCCGTAAACGGCCTCAATTGTGGAAGGATAATTCATGGATTTTTCATGACGATAATGCTCCCTCGCACCGAGCCAACATTATCAACGATTTTAAGGCCAAACATTCAATAAATACCATCAAACAGCCACCGTATTCACCTGATCTTGCACCGTGTGACTTTTTCCTGTTTCCCAAACTCAAATTACCACTCAGAGGAACGCGTTTTGAATCCATAGAAGACGAAAAACAGAATTCGCAGAGGGAACTCAAAGCCATACCGGAAAGCGCCTATAAAAAATGTTTTGATGATTGGAAGAAACGTTGGCATTTGTGTATCGCTTTCTAATGGAGCATATTTTGAAGGAGATAAAATAAATATTGATGAAGATTAAGAATTTTGCGTTTTATTTAAAATTTCCGGAAACTTTTCGGTCACAAAATATATATTATAAAAATATATATTAACTGAAAATCAGGAAATATGTCAAATTATAGCAGCAAATTTATATTTAAAGCAATATGTAATTATAATAAGTAAAACATATCGTATGCCTGAAATCTTCATATAAGAATACGATGGAAGATAAAAGTTCCCAGAAAATAAATGTAAAAGACTACATAGATTAAGCATCTTATCAAAAAATAAGAAATTTAAGGAATTATTACCAAGGGAGATCACTCTCTTAGTCCT